GTTGCTCAGCACCAAGTAGGTAGTCAATAAATGTTACGTCTCCCCTCCCTTTGTCTTTGTTGCTAGTAACTCTTAGTGGTTGCATCAACCGTCTATTGTTGTGTAGCAATCCCAAAACTTAGTGGCATAAAACAATAGTCACTCATTAGCTCACAACTCCATGCGTTGGCAATTTCGGCTGAGCTCAGCAGGGTGGTTCTTCTACTGGTCTTGATTAGAGTCACGTACATGGCGGCCATCAGTCAGCCAGTGACTTAAGAGGGCTGGATGGTCCAAGATGGCCTCATTCACAAGTTGGGCCATTAGTGCCAGCTGTCTGCAGGGACTCTCACTGCCTCTAGCTCTCACCCTCCTGAAGGCCAGCCTGGACCTTAGCGTGGAGGCAGCCCTGTTCCAGAAAAGCAGGGAGACCCCAACTCAGAAGCCACACCATGTTGCTTCCACCACACTTTGTTAGTCAAAACAAGCTGCGAGGTCAGCTCAGATCAAAGCATGGGGAAATGAACTCCACTTCCAGGTGGAAGGAGGAACAAAGTCACATTGCAAAGGAGCGTGCACACAGGGAGTGTAACTCACAGGGACCATTTCTACCAGTTACCACATTGTGTACCTAGAGCTTAGCCCACAACACCCTCCTCCTTTATTTCTCCAAAAAGACTCATAGACTGCATGCCATTCCCATGACTCATGTGCACCCATGGAGGGTGTCCACATGTGCATGAAACCTTGCAGATTACACGAGGATTACAAAATACCACAAAAATTAACAATCACCACAACACTTAATGGCACATCAGTTCAAGGCCACTCACTGCAGTGTGCACCATTGCTAACAGAGGCCGTGGAACCCACAGCACATCCTGCTAAATCCATCTCTCCTCTCACATTCAAGAGAAAATGGTCTGTGTGAGTCATACACTGTAAGAATATTACAATGATTAGCCTTATTTGTTTTCCTAAGGAAAAAGTCACTTATCTCAATGTTAACATTTCATTATTGGCAACAAATTGCAGGAGTAGACCTGAAAACTGCTAAGAAAAGGGTCAAGGAATTTGAGTAGGTTTCACTAGTCAAAATAACTTATTCAAGTTCAGAGTTCATTTCTTACCCCCTCCTTTTTTTTTCAGTAGCTACAGCCTAAAAATAACATGTCAATATTTTCTTGTTATATTTTCTTCCCCCTGGAGAGTGACCTTCTAGAGATTTTCCTCCAGCACACATCAGCTATCCTCTTCCAAAGATATATACCTCAAATCAGTATATTATCAATAACCACACCACTTTCTATATCCAGGTTTTAAACATCAGACATTTTAGCCACAAACAGATCACCTCTACTAATTTACGTACCCCAACAAACAGTGCTCACACCCTGCGTAGACTCCAATCCTAGCCCCACACTATCACGCATCTTTCTCTAGTCCGGATTCCATGGTCCATCCCTACAGTGATTCCCTTTACCTCTTAGTTCCTGCTTCCCCGTTGCTGTGGTGAACTTCAGCCCTGTTAAAGCCCATCTCTCCTCTTGCTCCATGCCTGGACCTGAGAAGCAGAATGTGTCTAGAGAAAAATTCACAACCATGCTTACTGGCCTCACTTTAGATGGATGACCACATATCACAAGTGGGGCTTAAGCAGCATCTGAAAAGCCAACCACAATTCCCCAGTCAAAACCTCCTCCCATTTATCCAGATGACTATTGACACATCTTCTCACTCCTAAGGCAGCTGACACTCACTGCCAATAGATGACCTTGACTCTTACTTTACTGAGAAAATAGAAGCAATTGGAAGAGCATTTTCTCTTTACTACCTGCTTCTTTACATATAGGCTCAGCCTTCTCTTCTCTCCTGTTGTCATGACTCAAACATCCCTACTGCTCTCTAAACATGCCCTCCTCCATCCAGCCAAGGACTTTGCTCCTAAAGTTACTCCTCCATCTCCTGCATCATCGATCGACTACATCGTTCGCATCAGTGTTAGAACACGCCAAAAGAGCTCCCACTGACAAACTTGCCTTTGACCTCACAACTCTCCCCAGTAATGCAACCCATTTGTTCATCACCCTCTCAGCATACGTCAAAGCTTTACTTCTCTACTAAAACAGCTCTGGTTAAACCCCGCTGTGGATTTCACCTCCTTCAATCCAATTCCCCCACCTTAGACTGCATTGCCCTTGAATTCTTAGTGCTA